AAACTCTGCTAATGTCTGTTTGCAAAGCATAAAAGTTTCCCACTGGGGGAGCGAAAAACTTGATCCGACCTGTAATTTGAGGCCAAATAAATTTCTAATGCACAGTCACGAAAAAAGAATTTGCAGTAAGCCAGATTTAAAAGATTTATTTATTTATTAAAATTGTATTCCGTACTATATTCGAACTTGTTTATTACATTCTAACGTAAAATACATATAGAACTCACGAAGTTTACGCTACTTAAAAGAAGTCTTCTTATGTTCTATTAAGGATCTTCGTTACAACATGCTCATTTGTTACTATCAAACAATGTATGTAGTAACACTCTATTTATTACATTACGTGCTTTAAAGAAAAATGCGTTGTAACCAATTACATAGAATTTACTCAACATTTCGTAACAATCGTTATCAACGTTGCTCAAGCACGACGTAGCTCCGGGCATCTCAAATGAAACATATCATATTGCGTAAATAAACTTGGGAACTTGCGACAAGAACCTAATTAGTGGAATATTGCACATTGTTTACTGCCAGAATGTTTGTTCGGCAAAGTTGAGTGGTGGTAGTAAGGCGGCAATTATTACAGAGTTCGGAAGCGCGCCCCGGCCCATATAAACGACACGTTAGCAGACGCCCCGAGTTCCGACCTCTTGCTGCAGAACTGACGACGATGTCGTAAATGGAATATATTACAGCTGTACGAATTTCAACTTTATACAGCAGTACAAAAGACTTTGTTCGGGAACGCTACCCTAAAAAGTGATGCAGAACCCTTCGTTAAATTGTTTAAAATATTCATAGCACCACCCAAGAGATAATTAATATTAACATAACCGGAACTATTTTCAATTCTTTACGCGACAACACTTTCATTATTATACATGCTAATTAAATGGCTAGGATAAGCTACATAAACTATATCAGTTATCGGATTATGAAAATGTCTTTATGCTGGATGAATATTCAATTCTTTAACGGAGATCGAAGATAATGGACCCACTATTATCGCATCATGTAAAATGCATTAAGTTATTATATTTATGAAATCTTTTTGATAACATTTGAAGCACCCTCAGGCAAACCGGAACGTACAGAGGTATATTTCCATTCCTTCCTCAGCAGTTCTGGATCCCTTTTAGTAATAAATATGTAATGGAAGACCCGGTCGATTGCATTAACAGAGAGGGGAGGTTTTATTACCACCACTCCGCAGGTATGACATCAGCAAAAAAACCTCGAAAGTTTGTAGCATAAATTTTAAATATCTTTGAAATGCGAAATATAAAGTATAATGTAGTAATAAAAGTTGAATAGTATTTATAAATATTGATGAGAATTAAATTTATTACGTATATTAAAATGTGATGCTTCCCATTACGCATACGATGACAAAAGTAAAGGCGAACGATCCAAGTAACGAAAACCACGGCAAGCAATATCTTTAAAAGCCATATCGTTTACTATGCCAACATAAGGCTCCGTAGTGCTAGGAACAGCTAAGAGTAGACTCAAGCCCCATAGTTTAAGCGTTAGATGAGATAAACTCCGTACGGAATTTGATTAGTATGTCCAACCAAATTGCTTTCTAATCCTCAATCAGATCTTCACTAGGAGACGGTGAAACGAGAGATGAATATCGGAGGATAATGTCCGGTTAATATCAAACTGAAACTTTTTGATTAAAATTCGTCAATTGGCAAAGTTTAGCAATTCAGTTACAAGGTTAAACAACCGATGACATAAATTGCACAGTCAGTTTCTATTGTTGTCGTTTAATTCTTTCTGCATTTGAACTTGCCCTGATACAAGCTTACTATTGAGTTCTTAACCCGTAGAAACAACGATATTCAACGGCAAGTTTAATATTGTTTATTATCATTAAGTTTCTCAAGAGAGTTCCTCCCCATTGCAAACTTCCTTTACGAGTTCCAAAACAACCAAAATTGCAACACTGGGATGTGTGTGAGAGAATCTCTCGAAAATCGTTATGTTACACCCTTCACCGGAAATAGGAAGGAAATGTGTTCACTAAAAATTAATGAATAGTGACTAATGAATAATTTAATTCGGTTGTTAAATTCTGCAGTGACAGGAGAAGAAACTAATGGGCGACTGGGGCCAAGTCCCTTCGGGTCTGTTTTGCGTCTGTTCGAGGGTACTAGGGTATTGAATAAATAAAATGCAATTAGACAAGGGAGAGTGGTAGTGTTCCGCATCTACGTGACAAGACGTGTTTTATAAAACAAATATACATCAAACCTTTCAACAATACAGCTATAAACAAGGGGGAGCGTGATTATCAATTTAAATGTAATACATTCCACTTTGCATGCAAAATATTAATATTATCCTAACGGTTGTGTCAAGTGAAGGGTTTAATATCTCATTATATGAACGATTACACTCGATGGAGCATCCGCGCCATAATCGGTCAGAGAAAAGGGAAAATCCTATAAGACGCTACCGTCGTTGTCGTGAGTACGGACGGCATGCTAACTCGGAATATTTGGAGGCAGGTTACGAGTGAAACTGACATGCAGGGCGTCGCCATAGCAACCAAGGAAACTACACCGTTTTCCGCACTCCACCCTCCAGAAAATGGCATATTCCCGGCATTTAATACTGATAAGAGAAGTTAAGAGCGTAACTTATTAATGCACGTGTTCCTAACGAATGACCCTTTGATATCAAATCCAACAGGTTTACTAAGATAGTATTCAGCATAATCTTATCTTGACCGGATCACAAATAATGGTTCTAACGTAAAAACTGATAATAATGACAAAATACAAAGACTTTTTGAACTTCGATAAGAGCTTGTCAAAACAAACATCTTTTATGTAATGTAAAGTTTTGGTCAGAATTATTTTTTACATTTTGCCGCTACTTCATATACGGTTTTATGAGGGAATGGAAATGAAAACAGGAGCGAAAATCCTTGTGTTTACATCTATGGTGGGTGCGATATAACAGTAAATTATGTTTTGGAGGCCGATCCTCATCAAATCAGCAGCCCGTAATAATAACTCTATTGCACAAAGGGCCAGAGATTTTGCCAGGCAATTTGGAATTTAGGACGAGTGAGGGGGCGGACTGTATGACACTCCATATGGCCAACGACTAGTGACATGTGTTGGGCGGGAACCCACATAGAGGGATTTGTTAAGAAAATTGGCCGAAGCAAGCGGTCCTTCAAAAAGCGGACATGATAACGCAGGAAAATAAATGACCGCACACTACACAACTTTTTCCTTTTACTTCTCTTATATTCTTCTTAGAATATTGAGACTCCACATTTTGGTACGTTGATTAAAAAAGAAATCCATGAACTGTGGGTAATGTCGTAACACGCCAGGAAAAGCAATATTCCAAGAGGGGATTGAGACGAAAGTTAATCTGTACAAGTTATTGGGGTACAAAGGTCAGAACACTCGCTCCCATCGCACTCCCTTGCCTGTTCAGATATTTGACCCCCGTCAATATGCAATGTTGCCGGTCCATCGCGTTTCCCTATCACCTATCTTTATTGGAAATCCCTGCTCTCTTGCACACTTGTGGTTAACTGAGCAATTTCGTGAAGTCGAACGTAAACCACAAATCGTAGAAAACAGCCCTTTGAGAGACAGGTTTTGAATGAAAGCTGCTAGAGTCAGAAAGTATTTGTACACAAACATTACGATGAGGAGCAAAACACACATTATGAGCTAATGAGTGTCTATTTTTATAAAGTTGTGAGTGAGGCAGCTAGAGGATATGGACGGAACTTCGCTCGAAATTGATCAGACGGCTAGCGCTATAGCGAGTAATGGTCCATTAACTAACGAACCGGCTGATGTCCGGCGCTTCCGTCGGCAAATTCACAAATGAAAGGAACTGGCAGATCGATCAGACGACGAAACATATTTGGCGTCAGGTTGATATGAATGACACTAATCGATTTCTTTTGTATAAATATTGTGTTCTCGTATGAACACTTTCTTGTGTCTGTTAAACACGAGACTTTGTTGGATAAAGATGAAGAAGATATCTCATTTCTAAGTGCTCATTGTAGCGATCTTACAATGGGCCTGTTGCCGTGGCGAAGGTCGGCCCAACGTTGCATAACGACTGCATCATAAGCTTATAACATTCGTACTGCATCCACAGCGACAATATGACGCACATTCTCGCAGATAATTACATAAGTACAGGTTAGCTGGATGCTATTTGCAAGTGTAAGCATGCGATATCGCGATATAGAGCATTTGAATCGTAACTGCTCAGGTAATACATAAAACGTTCATATTAAGTTTAATTGCTTTTGGTTAACCGCCAGCTTCAAGCGAGGGTTAGAACAGAACTCTTTGTGGTTTTATTCTATTCTTGCAAAAAGTATTTATTAGTATATAAGTTTATTATTATGACTGATCCTGTGGTAAGGCATGTATCCTGTTGTGGCCGTAAACGGTTTGATGACTAATCACAGCAGCTGCATGATGTTTCATCTTGAAATTGTACTTACATACAAGCGTTGCACAAAGTGTATTAAGCATTAATTAAAAAGATAAATAAAACACAATAAGCAGCTGCTACTTAATCTTGTATTCTGTTCTATTTCTGTTGCAAGTAGAGATATTATCGGTTTTTGTAATTTAAATTAATTAATTAGTTGTTTCTTGCAGTAAGGCTGTTGATTTTAAGATGCCACCATTCCCACGCAATGAGAATTTTATTTGATATGTACATTAAATTTCAAGTAAATTTTTATTTGATTAATTCATATTTTGTAAATGGTTTTTTATTATGCAAATGCCTTCCTTGACAGTTGCCAAAATATATAATGCACTGGTGTTTAAGCAATTGAACAGATAGTCAATTTGTGACACAACAAATTAAGGACAAGGCTTCATTTAACGCTTGATTGTAAAAAAACATTAATTACGAGCAAAATGATTAAAGAATATTGTTGATAAACTAACTGGTTTACGCTGGCGATGACAGATTTTATTTTATTGCAGATTCAACATCACCGGATAGAGTTTCTCGAAAAACTGGACACCTTATAGCCATAGGAATAAAAGGTAATCTCTAAAAAACTAAACTTAAAGTTTGTTATACTGTAACACAGTAAGTACTTTTTACAGTTAAGGTCGTGAATTTGCATAAAATGAGGTTTGGCTGTCCAAAAACCTCGTTAAGTTGTTATTATTCTGCCTGCCAAACCGTGACCTGTTGGACAAAACTGCCGATACAATGGAATATTTCGGCGATGTCGTCAATTTACTAAAAATAACTGTTTCATAACAGGCACGACCGAGAGTGCTTGCAATCATCCCGTCAGGAGCCAGGATGGACTAAACAATTGCCCTCTCTGTATCACGAGGCCCATTACAAGTTACGCAAGTTACTACGCGGTTAATTCAATCGTTTGTTATTTCAATTGATACACGTACTCGTGTTTGAAAAACGCAAACCGACTTGAAAGAAAATAAATATTAAAGTTACATTGAACCTTGATTGAATTGATGGGAAGCGTGTTTGAGGATTACGGCTCCGTCATTTAATTTGCGAACTATTGATTTAACGGAAGTAGAGAACAGGTACAAATGCAACGAAACTGGGCCAGTGTGTCGGAGTCGCAGTAGCAAGTGTTATTATCTACAATCATACGACCTTGCGACCAGTTGACGCGCGAATTGTGGGGCGACGCAGATTGCCATCCTCCGTCCTGGCATCCGCCTTGCACTTCGCTCTTATATCGCTATTACGTCAGATCGTATTAGGTAGTAGGCCAGGTTTTAAAATAGTCCTATATAAACTAATTAAAGTTGCTAAATGGAAAATGCTTTGGCGAAACAGCGCTCTTATTTCAAATCCTTCGAACCTGAAACTGAGTAATCGTCGCGTTTACATGTACTCCTTCATTATATTTCTATCTCTCATTCATTTACAATTTTAACGGAAAAAATTGCCTATTTACATAGTGCGATTTAAAATCTCTTGTCCTTTATTTTATAATGTAAGTAATGCATTTTCGTGAACATAATAATCTACGTCAATAGTGTAGGTATATGCAAATTGTTGAATGGTCACTGTTGAATTTATGACTCGTTTGAAAACTTTATTACAGAAATTTGTTTTACAACGGATACAATCAGTTTGCGGTCAAGTGGGCGCGTGTTAAATCGGTCGTTCCGAAGTTGGATTACCAGTCTATGAGCAGGAATCAATTTCGAGTTGATTCACGGTTCTGTGTTTGCATGGAGATATTTGAGACAAATCTTGAGTCGTCAAAGATATCGCTTTATTACCAAAGGCTTGTATGCTCTCCTCAATTGTCACAGCAAAACAAAGGAACTGCATTCTTCCATTCCTTTGCCAGTTATTGTATCATATTTTCGAAATAAGCAAGAATGGCTTGTTCTTCAATAAGTACTGTAAACTGATTAAAGTTCTTAGTTTCAAATAACATTGACGGATGAGTAAAATTAAATATTTACTATGCTCTGCATCTCCTTTGCATGTTTTGTTTATACAGTGATTTTCAAAGTAATAAGTCTCTCTCTATAAGTCTATAGTCAATCATGTTCAATTTGATTACACGTTGTCTATGAATTGAATACAAATTAGTTGGCACTAGCACATAGTTTTTCTTTTGCATTAATAATTTTGTCACATGGATTTCATGAGAATTTGTATGAGTAGATCTATATCTACTAGAAACTATCTATATACTATCTATAACTTCGACGGAAAAAGTTGTCATGGTACAACTATTTGTTGAACCCAATAGAACAAGCTTCATTTAATGAAATTGTGCCAGAGTCCTCATATATGTTCGCTAATATCGCATTGCACACTGGGGAAATGGTGAACGAAACCTTCGGTGGCTCATTAATCAGCTTTGCGCTAACTTCTGTCGTCCCTCTTGTACTCTATGAAGCATGAAATTTATAGTCACCGAGATAATTTTACGTCGTGAAAGCAGCTGGAACTCGCAATAAAGTACTTAATTCCACGCAATTAGAAGAATAAATCCCTCGTCCCGCGTTCCGGCGCAATGAATATTGCAAATTACTAATTCTAATATTCGTCCGGTGAGGCCCAGCTTTTGCAACAGGTGCGATGATACCTACTCTTCCCGAGCTTGGTGTTAATTAGCCCCTTACTGCTTGATTCATCGCTCTAACTCTGTCTAAAAACCAACGGTCTCCGTTTATCTTTAGGCGGACAGCGCTCGATGACGTATAGGAGTTAATTCTAAAGCATTAAAGCAAAAATAAGTGCCTTTAATAGTCGCTGAGGTAAAACGGCACAATTTAGAACAGTAATGAAGGTAAAAAGTGTTGGAGTAATAACCGCAATAGTGACAGGTAGCCTAACGGTACAAGGTATTTATTTTTCAGCATAATTCACAGCGGGTTCAAAACGGAAACCAATGCGTGGATTGTTTATCCTGCTACATCTCCCGGCGCAGTCACGCTCCGCGTTTACTCTGCTGATTGTTATCCGACTCGCCCGACTCCATGTCATTTATAAATTAAAAACCGCGGATAGTCAAAGATATAACTACGGCATAGAAAATAGCAACGTATATCAAACCTATTACGTTAATGGAGTGGGGATTTAGGGCACGTACACGATTGCGTGACGAATGTAGGCAAGTGATCCTCAGACAAAACCGACACAGTCTATTCATTAGCGCCATTGGCATCGAAGCGGTCAGTGTTTACGCCGTAAATCGTGTGAAGTAAATAAATTATCCGATAATCACATAAGTATGAGTAACTATCATGTTGAATAATAAGTCATCATCAACCGACTTCAATCAAACTTTTAGACAGGTTTCGCGCTGCATTTTTTATAAAATAAAAATTTCCCTTCCATCGCTAAAGATAAGCAAAATAAATGCAAACGGGCGTATCAGATAACTGTAGACTAGTCAGCCCTGCGACGCTTTCAATTTTCTTAGTCAATAAATATACGAGCGCGATAAGGTGGATAGCCTTTGATTTAGGTAGATGGGGGCTATAAATAATGTTAATCCTTGTAAATTGACAGCCATTGAACAATCATTGGTTAATTGTATTGTCAACCAAGTTTATAGGCGCAAATAAGCGCCGTAAACACGGTGATGAGGCGAACCCGCATCCTATTGTTTTAAAAACTTTAAAGAGATAAACACAAGTACAGCCATTGTATAGAGACTCAATCGCAATAACATGACAACCAAGTTGTTGAATATCTACATACAATATGTAACAAACATCGCAGTGTTTCGAGAAGTAAAATTGTATAATATAACGTGTGCGATGTAATACTCATAATCTTAATGTACGCTTGCAATGAATACTTTGAATTATGGATTCCAGGGAAGTAGGTTTATGCGAACTGATAAGCATCGGTGGGGTCAAAGCCATAATGCACCGTCTGCTTTAAAATGGTCTTCACGCATGAGGTTGTTCCCACGCTATCAGCTGGTTCACGCGCCAGCGCGCGCGCAGCGGCCCGCGACGCCGTCCACGTCACCATCACCCCGAGACCGATAACAGCATAGTATAGATTTCATGAATATGCATTATATTTAAATTGCAAATGCATACCATGTGCCACTAGTCCGAAAATTAAAAAACAAATGACGATATCCAATGAAAATACTATTAGAGCATGATAAATTGATTACAAGTAACAAGCGCTTTGCTATCGAACTGTTAGAACCATAATATAAAGTTACCGTTACGTCCACGTCGTGTAAAGTGAGAGACCAATTTGTCAACATACTATACGAGAACAGCGAACTGCCCAACAATGATAGAGAGATGATTTATCGACAGATAGCAGCTGCACATGAGAGGCGACGGCGTCCGAGAGAGCAATTTACACGGCCGCATAAAAAATGTGTGTTGCTAACAAAAACTTGCTTAATTTAAAAACAACTTAAAAAAAATAGGTACTACTTCTGGGAGTTACAAATTTTCCTTTTCCTTGTCCTAAAAACAACGAAATCCATTCGGTATAACGGTTAAAAAAGAAACCATTTACGGAATGTCCATTACTAGCAGCAGTAATGTTAGCAACGTGTTTACTACAGCACAGTAAATAACTAAAATGTCAAGATTTTAACAAAAAGCACTTGACTAGTGGTATCTTGGCAACGCTTTGTCTATTATTTGGCTGACTGAACGATGAACTTAATGTAGGTATTAGAGAGAAAAGCAAGCGGCCACTCGTGCTCCGTTTCATTAGCCATCGAGATGAGGCAGAGCCAGATAACGAAGCCATTACCGTGATAATTGCCTCCAAATGCAGCCCGCCCATCTCACGCCCGCCTGTCCACTACGTTGTTATAATACTGTTAGATTGAACAATAAATGTTGCAACTAATTGCATATGACAATGGAGAAACTTGTACAGTTACCTGCTTCATCTTCAATTCACCTTATTCCGTCAGATATAGATGAAAAAGTGACGGGACATGACGAACAAGATTTGTTTCGTTAAGTCAGTTCTAACGTTAACTGGAATAGAGCAGGTGGCAAATAGCCGCCAGGTGGATGTTTCGAAGCTAGTAGATGAAGCTCCATCAGTCGCGGATATTACTATAGAATGTGAAAGGGTCAACTGTAATTCTGAGCACGTTCTTCATTCCTTAACGGTCTCAGAGCTACGGCATAGCTTATTCTTTTATTTATTACTATCTTTTACAGCTATTACTTTAATACCAATGGGATTTAACGACTGTGGAATTAAACAAATGGGGTCGTACCGTGAGCCATTTAATTAGAATAGTGTCCGAGGCTCCTTGGAGTCTCGCGATGACGTTAGCGGATTATTTGCATTGTAAGCAGCAACACAACTGGGTTAAAAGCTTATTGCTGTTTAGCTGACTTCATAAGCGTCAACAATGGCATGTAAGGATATAGAGCGGACGTGTTTCTACTGCTTGATTTATATTTGGTTTTACAAACAGCCGCAAGTCTGTAAATTTGCGATTACCAAGAAACTTTAGAACGTGTGGACTAATATAGCACTGTTCAACATACTCAGATTCAGTTACAATACCACATAGAATCATTAAAAG